ACCTTGGGTAGGCTCAGAGTTACTTCTGCCTGTCTCCCCACCTCTAATCGATCAATCATCCAGCTGTGGGCCAAGGACCAGGGGTCTGGATCATCTCTCAGGGGCAGAAAGAGGGTGAGACTCTGAGAAGAAGTGTGCAAGAAGAAAACGTATTTGGTGTTATGGCTGCATCTCTTTCAAAGATATCTAGAATTGGAGGGTGACAGATGATTAACTCTGAGTTGGGTTATCTGAAATATGACCCAAGTGAAGAGAGTCAACAGTAACCAGAACACATTGTGAAAAGGAGAAGGTGGATGGATTGTCACCTGGGCCAGAATCCCCAGAGAGCACTTTCACCTTCACATCAAGTGAAAATTCTACCTGGTCACCCTCTTGTGTCCCCAGAGGGTCAAGCCCAAGAAGAGGGAAGAGTAGAAAAGTAGTTGTGGGCCAGGATGGATTCTTGAGTGGGTGGTTATTTCAACTCGGACCCTCTGAGATTCACAGCAGTGCCCTAGAGCTGTGGCGCTGCTCTCTCACAGACTCCCAGGCTCTGTCGCTGCTGCTGCAGCAGCTCCGCAGTTAAAGTCAGCTGGCTCTGTGGTGCCTGTGCTAACTCTAGGAGCAGCTGCTCCCGGAGCAGGACCAACAGTATCTCCAGTGCTAAGAAAAACTTGAGACTGCGGGATGAGCATATTGGCAGGCTCTTGGGAGGGAGCCTGTTACTAGCTCAGTTTTCAGGATATCTCAACAGGAGTTACGCTCAGAGTGAATTCAGCAGTAGACCACATGTGTAAACCTAGAATAAGGATACTTTTCTTTTTCTAAACAATTCTCCCTCTGCTTCTAATTAATTGGCAAAACTATTAATATTCAGAAAGACATTCTCCGTGTTACCATTTCATGGTTGCTCTTTGGGCTTGCTAGGTCAGATTTCAATCCTAGTCAACTCCCATGCTGGTTGCATTGCTGCAGCTGCACACCTAATTCAGAACTCTGTACAGTAATTGTAGAATTAGGTAATTCTAAACTTTTGTACTTGTTATAAGATATGTACTCTTATAAATGTTTTATGTGTAACTCAATCAAAGGATCAATTAATTCACACAATATTGCTATTAGGTCATTACAGTTATTTTCCACACTTCATAGATGAGAAAACAGAGGCACAGACAATTTGAGAACATTTCTAAGGTTATAAAGCAAGCACCTGGTACTCAGAATGTAACTCTAGGTTATATAGCTACTTAGTCTGTGATCTGAACCAGTTCTCTGGAGTTAAACTGGAAAGGCCTGCATTATTTACCATGCATGAAATTCAAATAGCTTATGGTGAGATCTTCTCAACAAGCTCGACTTAAAGCAGCTATCCCCTAATTTTCTTGCCTGATATACTAATGTTTCTGGGCTAGTTCCCATACTGCACAAAAGAAATCTCGATTTCTCATACCCTTCTCTTCACCCATGTCCCTCTGTCCTTTCTGTAGAATATAGTCACAGTAGGCAGAGATTATATTCCTTTCATATCACGTTGTATCTCCAGAGTTTGCCACATAGTCAACAATACTTGCTGAGTGCATGTGAGAGTGATTTTTGAATTCTGAATCTTGAACTTACTAATGGAAGACAGTCCAAGAAAATCCTCCATTTTTTTTTCTCTTTAGTGATGTTCTGTTCTTTTAATTCACCTGTTCATATCCTTCTCCCATTTACTCTCATAAAGCTGCTTAATGTTTACCTAATTTGCTCAGTACCAGATCTTTGGAAACAGTTCCTTGCTCCAGGGAATCCCAAGGCATGGATAGGCAGTGATTGCAATTATAATATTTAATTAATGTAACCTACTCATATAACACTACAATTTTTCTAATTCTAGTGATTAAAATGATATAAATGCTGGATACAAACGGGCATAGGCAGTGTGGGCACTGCTCTGTGTGTGTGTGTAGTGATCATATGTAATTAACATAGTCTTATCCCATGGTAGCCTATAAATAGTGCTGTCTGGGTCATGAAAAATGGTAAGTGCTGTCTTTGTTCTGATTGGGAAGTAGGTGCATAGATATTGCATAAGAGAGAGGTTACGTGGACAATGAGTTTGCCAGGGACTTGGTATGAGAGAGAGATTTAGAAAGCATGGTTATAAATAAACTGGAAGATTCATCCCACCAAACAAAATAATTGGCTATCTGGGACAGACAGATGGCCTGACATTGTGTGTATGTGTGTGTGTGTGTGCGTGTGTGTGTGTGTATGGTACTGTATCTAAGCTGTGTGTAAATTTGTTCTCAGAAACCTGTTGACATTATACTAAAGTTCTCGAAATTTTTTTTGGTTAAATTTTCTGAACTTTATTCCCAGCTGTGTGAAGTTGGGCTATTTGCTTAGCTCTAGGAGCCTTTGTTTTCTCATTAGTATAGTGGGGATATTAATACTACCTACATCACAGGATCGGTATGAGGATTAAATGAGATAATGTGTACAAAACAAATAAGACCTAGAACAAAACAGGTGGTCAATAAGCTTCAGTTAATATATTACATTCTGTTATTTTTATCATTTGTACAGACGTGTGTGTATATATGTATATATACATATGGAGGCAGGGAAGGAGAACTGTATTAGTTAGGGATTTCCAGAGAAATAGAAGAGACAGAGGGAGAAATTTATTTTAGGAAATTGGCTAATGTGATGACTGTGGGGGCTGGCAAGTCTGAAATCTTGCCAGACCCCACAGTCATCGCATGATGATTGCGGTGATCATGCAGGCCTGCAGGCTGGAAATTCAAGTAACAGTTGATGTTGCAGCCTTGAGTCTAAATTCTGCAAGGCAGTAGTCTGGAAACAGGCAGAGTTTCTATATGGCAGTGTTGATGATAATTTCTTCTTTGGAAACCTCAGTCTCTGCTATTAAAGGCTTCTGCTGATTGGATGAGGCTCACATTAGGAAAGATAATCAGCCTACTCAGTCTACCGATTACATATGTACAAAGCAACATCTGGACTGGTGTTTCATCAACAACTGGATACCATAGAATAGCCTAGGCAAAATTAACCATCACAGAGACTGAGAGGATACATAGAAGTCATTAGAGACACGATCCAAGAGACTGCAGAGGGTCCACAGTGACCAGGACACACTAGGAACATGAAATGATGGTTTTATTTTCACTTAGGATAAAGGCAAATTTCTGGACAGACCTTTGGAGAATATTGGGAAAACAGAATCTTCCACCTGGCAACCCCAGGAGTCTCAGCAAGGCTGTGGTGTTAGGAGGACTGAAGAGAGGGAGTGCAGCATGTGACTGGGGAGGCCCTTGGCCTTTGCACTTTGGTTTCACAGAGGTATAGTCAGCACAGCACAGACAAGGCTGCTGACACTGCACCGTAGCTGGAGCTCTGGGAGCTGATGAAGCTGGAGCTGCTTCCCATGCAGGATCAGTCACACAAGAAGAACTGGAGTTGAACATGGGCTGTGCACTGGAGTGGCACTGTGGAGGGCCCTTTAAAGACATTGGCATTACCGGTGGTGTTTTGGTAAGGTTTCTGAGTTTGAAAATGAATTGAATAATAAGTCAGATAAATTAGAGCCAATATGGGCACAATTTTGCCCTTTTAAACCTATTCTTGGTGTGCTGGCAGACAGTTTATAAAATACATTAGTATCTAATAGTACCTATGAAGAAACATATAGCCCCAAGTTAAAAGTGTTAGAAGTGACATTTCTGAAAACAGAACTAATGCTAAATCAATATCAATTTCTGTCTCTCATCATTTCATTTCATATCTACATACCCATTTCCTACCTACTGTATTTCATAAGCATAAAGAGGCTATCAGCTGTAAGGGGCACCCTTATTTCATGCACCACAAAGAATTTTAAAAATGTTGCAAATTCAACTATTACATGCCACCAGTCATATGTTATATGCTGATTTAAGGGCTGTTAACAAATGTAAGAAGAGTGTATCATGGAATTGATGAATTAAGATAAGTATAAAATCCATCCTTTTTAGGTCATATAAACATGTATATACAAACCAGACAGGCCAATTCTTGCTTTGCCCAGAATACCCCTCTGCTGTGCTCCTCCTTATCGCTGGGCCCTCTTCTCCTTTCATATTCCACACTCCCAGTGTCACTCTTTAGACTCCCATATGGTTCTACTGAGAGCCAGTTTGATGGCTCCCAGGGGTAAACTCACCCTGGTAACCAGGCAAGGAAAATGGCAGGTCCCAGATGAGGCAAAACAGATGTGGGACAGTGTTAGGACATCTCTTATCAGCTATGCTAATACCAAGATCTGAAGTGAGTCCCCGCTCTAGCAGGACCACGACACGTGAATTCTCCAGCAACTCTCTGCCTGGAATCCATGCCCCTCTGATGTCATATCAGCCAATATGACTTCAGCAAGAAGTTATTGTGGACCTGGGTTTTGAAGTCCCAGTTTTCTGCAGAACCGTCTCTTGTTAGGAAATTGGGGGTTAAACTTATCCAAAACTTAAAATTAAGCAAAAAGGTGATTTCTGATTAGTCTTTTAAATTTTTACTTCTTCCTAGTAACTAACAACCTTGCCTAAGGTTTATATGACTCTCTAGGTTTTTTAAAAAAATGGTGGTATGATTTTATTTAATATATTTGGTATTGATTAAGGCCCAGACACTATAAAGCTAGATTTAACTTATAGAAGATTTAGAAGTTGAAAATCATTTTGTGTGCTCTAGAAAATGTAAACTAATTGTTTCATTGCCTTTGAAAACTTGAACCAGTTTTGTATCTAAATTTGCAATCTTGTTCCAGAATTTTTTTCACTGAATGTATATACTTTGGTCTTTCCTATTCTTTGAACCAGCGTTACCATCATGCGGATTCTCTTATTAACGAGTGAAACAAATCTTTACTATATGCCTGCTATATATTTATATGAGTCATGCTTTTAACTTTTTGGAAATTACAATTCAATAAACCTTTATATCCACACATACCCTTTCAGGAGTGGAAACTGGGCCAAAATCAGACACTGCCAGACAGTATTGACAAGAAGATGAAAAGGGCTACAAAGATATAGTAAAGAGAAAATTTGGGTTAGTGAATCTATTAAATAAGGTGAGATACTTCAAGGGACATGGTAAGACTTTTTATTGTACTGTGGCTAAAATAAAGTTCCAGCATTTGGTGGGGGATAATTTTCCGGAATATGTGGAGTTTAAGCTCCCAGAAAGACAATTCAAGGAGCTAGTTGGAAATACAAGCTTTCAGGAGACTGACTTTTCAGATGAGGTGAACTTCAGATGAAATGTCTGGAATCAATCCCGGGTCATTCTTTTCATGTCACCTACGTACTCATTCATGTGGTCCTGCAATCATGCCTTGATCCTGCCAACATTCATGAGACAATTAAGTGTTTGGCTGGTCCCTGAGGGAATATGCACAATGTGACATGGGGTCTCCTGGCTCAGAGGGATCACCTATGATGGTGTGGACTGTGGAAACAGAAGCAAGAATACAGGCAGGCAGGTGTCTCTTCACTGACTTCTGAACCAATTCTCAACATTTTCTCAGATATAAAGGGACAAAGGCGACGTATTAAAGAGCTGCTTATCTCCCAATTCTGGTTTCCCAGGGGATCAGATCCCATTAGTTCTTCCATCGCTTACTCAACCATTCAATCCAGATGCTCATGTATGTGCATGTTCATTTCACCTACATTTGTATATAAATACAGCATACACACATACAGTGTGCGCGCATGCACACACACACACACACAAGCTTGCCTCCCCCACATCCTTACTTACAACATTGTTACGAGTATCTTTGTCAAAGAGTATGAGGAAGCTGAGGGTGATATCACCATGAAGACAGTGGAATGAACTAACATGTTCTAATCACATTGGGAAATAGTGACTCAGGAGGTTCAGTCCCCAGACATCATCTCCTTTGGTGCCCATTTGTCTGCAGTCATCTTCAAAAAGGCCACTAAATTCTGCAGTCCTTGAGGTCATGGGCTACTTATTATTCACCTCTATATCCCTGTGTCTGGACATACGTGCTCCAAGAATGTTGTAGGCTTTCAAGGAATGCCTTTTGAATACACTGCTCTGGTCACACTGTTGACTTACTTTATCCTTCAGGTAAAAGCTGTCTGAGAGCAGGAATCAGATCTGATAATACGACTGGATAACTAGAATAGAATCCCTCCGTTAGAAACTGACAATGGGAAACTGAGCTTTCTCTGCATCCTCCCCTCCCCCACTAAGTAGGCATTAAGCAATGTGAAGGCACAGTCTGTTTTTCTGTGTTAATCAGAGGTGTGAATATCGATCTTTTTCAATTTTAATTTTAACATCTTTATTGAGACGTAATTCACATATTGCATAGTTCATTTGTTTAAAGTGTAAATTCAGTGGTTTTCAGTATATTCATAGAGTTGGACAATCACCACCACCATTTTAGAACATTTTCATTACTCCACAAAGAAAACCTGTATCCATTGGCAGTAATTTCCCAATTTCTCCCAACCCGCTAAAGCTCCTGGAAGACGCTGATATTTCTTAGAGGACAGGCATAAACATAAAAGGAGATACAGGGAAGAGAATCTTGTCCAGGCTCTAGTTCCTCCGATGCCCTAAGTCAGCTCTTCAGGGGGCCAGCCTGGGAGACTCTGTAACTGGCTAAAGCCTCATCTCCTTTCTATTTCCACAGATTTGCCTACTCTACACATTTCATATAAATAACATCATACAATGTGCAGTCTTTTGTGACTGGCTTCTTTCACTTAGTGTAATGTTTTCAAGGTTCACCCTCAATATATCTGTTTAAAATAAATGAATAAATGAATGGGTAACTCTGTCTAGTGCAACCCAGAATCAGAACTCTGAATAACCAGACCCCTGGCTGACCCTCTACTTCCTGGTAGGAAAGGAGTTCCCTCTCCATGGGAGCCCCAAGAAAAGATGTCTACTTCCCAAGAGAGGTTTCGAATAATCTAAGTTTCTGGTTGAGTTAAGCTCTTGGAGGGTAAGGGCTCTATACGGACAATTAATGACACATAAGACCTGGGCAAGTACCCAACACATGGCTTTAGTTTTTCTTTTAAACATATATGTATTAAGGGTCTATCAGGCACAAAGTGTCATACTTAGCTCTTTCTTACTTCTCACTTTATATTACAACCTGCTCAGTGAGATAGGTATATCTGGTTCATAATGGGCATTACATATGAGAAGTGATACTCAAAGTGAGTATCATAGTAATACTCTAGCAATTACTGATAATTGTTCCAGCAGCTTCCAGAGATTACCCATTTATCATATGCAGCTTTTCTGATTCCAGTAGCAGATTCAATGCAATTCCTCCGACTGAAGGAAATGTTTAGATTTTAGAGGGAATTGTTTATTCTCAATCATTCTCCTTGCTCTAGGTGACAGAATCAATTCAGGTTTAATCCACTGAATCTGCTTGCCATGGTGAGTCGGAGGAAAAGCAGAAACCCAGAGGCCAGGAGGAAGGGCTGAGAGCCTAGGCAAGGGAGGGATGCCTAGAAAGAGCCAAGGCTGTAGAAGCCCCCTGGGATGGCTAGATCTACAACAGAACATGGAAAAGAAACCGCTCAGGGTGGAGGGAGTCATAATGGAACATTTCCACAAGTTCAGGGAAAGCTGTGGCTCAGAACTGATGTTTCCTCAGAGGACATGCATTTAAAAAATGCAGGGAACAGAATCTTGTCCAGGTGTGGGTCCCTTGTGTACCCTAACTTAACTCATTAGGGCTCCCACCTGGTGGAGGCTGTGACTGACTAAAGCCTCTCTAGACCCCAGCCCCAGAGAGGAGTCCTGGAAGCTCCTGAGGCCTCTTTGGATTGCAGGGACAAGGAGGCAGGAGAATGTCAGGAATGACCCAGCACGTGCCTGGTTGTGCAAGAGCCACCTCCTGCTCTTCCCAGAGCCAAGCCTGGGCCCTATAAAAGACACATCCAGCTTCAGCACCTCATCTGCTCTGACTCCCCAGGGAGGTGTCTGTGCTCCTGCGTGTGACCAGGGTGAGTGGCAACCTGGGATACCAGAGAGGTATGAGCAGGGCAGAGGGATGGGGAGGATGGAGGTAGGTTGGAGAGAGAGAGAGTTGTGTGCTTGTGTTCTGCCATGCTGAGCAGGAATAGGACTCAGTCTGGCTTGAATCTACTGAGGCTCTGAGGCCTACTGGAGCTCATTTAGGTGGGAAAAGCTAACTGTGCACATCTTTTCCAATTCTGTGCTCAGTGACTTCACATCGGTAACTTCAAAACTGCCATGTTGGGTATATTTCCACCATGGAAACTGGCAAATACTTCAAGCCAGGCCCTTTTATCTGGAGGTTTCATTGTGAAATATTTTCCAGAGGACCCCTTGGTGTATTCTGAAACACCCAGCTGGTACTTAGGGCTTGTATTAAGGAAATAGGTACTTCAGGGAGCTGTGAATACTCTACTCAGGCTTGTGAGGACAGAGCAATCCCAGTTTCCCTTGAAAGGAAGAAGAAGAAGCTCATTCTGTTGATTTTTAATCTATGTACTTTTATCTGGAGGAAAGATTCAAGTCGTTTCTTTCAGGTTACTGATGTGACTGTATGATCTAAATATCATTCTTCTTCTACACATGCATTGATTTTAGAGGAGGTATAATTATGACCTTTCATTTGAAATATTTAGAGTTTCATTATTATCTTTTAGGTTGACTAAACTCCTGCCAGCATGTCTTGCCAGCAAAACCAGCAGCAGTGCCAGCCCCCTCCCAAGTGTCCTCCCAAGTGTACTCCAAAATGTCCACCTAAGTGTCCTCCCAAATGCCCACCCCAGTGCCCAGCTCCATGTTCCCCTGCAGTCTCTTCCTGCTGTGGTCCCAGCTCTGGGGGTTGCTGCAGTTCTGGGAGTGGTGGCTGCTGCGTGAGCCACCACAGGCCCCGTCTCTTCCACCGGCGCCGGCACCAGAGCCCAGATTGCTGTGAGAGTGAACCTTCTGGGGGCTCTGGCTGCTGCCACAGCTCTGGGAGCTGCTGCTGACCTGGTCTTCAGAGGAGCTCTTGGGACTGAATGGTCAAGAACATGCTACAGCCTGATGGATACGCTTTCTGCTTCCTCTCATTCCATTCATTGGTGTGCAGAGACCACAAAGACTCATGGCGCTTCCCTGGAAGAACTTCGTGCTTGATGGAGGACCCCAATTGCAGTCTTCTTTTCCTCCTTTATCTCATGTTATAATAAAGCTCTGATTTCTGACTCACTAAATGTCTTGGTCATTCTATTTTCTTCTGAGATTTGTAATGTCCTCCAAAGGACAGGGCCCCAGAGAAATTTTCTTTATGAGGCAAGGAGAAGACATGAGTAGGTGATACATGGAAAGCTGCTCCGAGGAACTGATTCCCCCAAAGGCAGGGTGGATGGAGCTCCAAGAGGGTCAACTCTGGCTATGGCAGCTTTGCCTTTCTCTCCACTAAGCCAGACACATGTTCTAATTTTCTGTCTATTCCAGACGTTGGGAAGGTTGGGAAGCTCTGCAGACTTGTTCTTCTCTAGGGAGAAGAACACATCTAAATGAAGCAATACTTCCCTGCTGTTAGAATCAATAGTTGGTAAAATGCTTGAAACGGATGTTGAGACCCTTCCTTCTGTTAAGTACAGTCCGTGGTCACTGAACTCCTTTTCAGGGAGGGTGAGTCTGGTGAAGATCAGCCTTTTGACTTGTTGCCTTGGACACCTGGCTTCACTTCCTCTCAGTGTTAGATCTGAGCCCCAGGATGCTGTCCTGCCACTTGGCCCACGTGCTGGGCAGGGGAGTGATGAGTAATGGAGATAATAAATAGAAAAAACATGGAAGAGTTACTTAGAAAATACAAAGAATATAAGGAATATAAGAATACAAAGAATACCAGACACTGTAGGAAAGAAAAGACCTTTCCTCCTTCAATACTTATCTTCTCTGCCAAGCCACCCTCAGATGTGAGGGGGGAGAAGTGCCAGGATGGGTGGGGCATCTTAAGTATTAATAGAGGAAGGGGAGGGAAGCAGGGACACAGCAGGGGAAATAAGGGCTAGTGCTTCTTAGGTTCAGGCTGACAGGTGTCCACATGAAGATAATGGATTTAGCAAAGATGGATTTTGACAGAGATGGAGTCTCTTAATAATATGTTTATCTTCTTACTTACCCTTAGTGCCACTAAGACAAAAACTTGGCTGATTAACCAGTCTGAGATTCTGTACTGACTGCATTTTAAATCACCCTCTGCACTGTCAGTTTATTTGACTTAATGTTCTTTATTATTTTGCCAGTCTCATTGTTAACCAATTTTCAAGTCCCTGACCAGTAGTAATTTTGAGCTTCCATAAATACGTACATGGGCCATTTCTACAACAATTGTAATAGGATTTTAAATTTTCTTTTCAATTTTCAAGAGCTCTTGATATATCATGGATATTAACCTTGATCTGTCTTTATTAAAATATTGAATACATAATAATTAATGGACTCTGTTTATAATAACTTTTGCCAAGGAAATATTTGTAGTTTATAAATACTCAAATATGACTTTCTTTGCTTTCATAGCTTCAGGGTTTCCTGAGTTGGTTAAGAAGTTTTCCCTTGTCCTTAGTGTTTACATATCAGCAAACAAAACAAAACAAAAAAAAACCCGAATAGTATAAAATGGAATTCCAAGCAAGGGACCTAAGGTTGCCTGGGGCAGGTGAAGGCTGGCCTGTGGAGGGGTGGACACCTGAATGTGCTTTCAGGGACCTCTGCCTTAAGTAAGAGCAACTCACCGGCCCTTCCCTTATCCAGTGGATCTGCTATCTGGGCCCCCATGTGCTCCTTTCGTGGTGAACATAATCTTTGCTTCATCCAAACTTCCATACACAGAATAATTTCCAATCTGACTATTGGTTTTTACTTGCATCTTATCTTATGTTTGGCGTGTTTGCATGTGTGTTAGAAATTACGTTCTGTTACTATCACAAGAACTCAAAATCACAGCAATTTAAAAAGGAGAGCAGGCTATTTCCACTCACATATGATGAAGTCAGAGGTCAGTAGTCCACGGCTGGTACGGTGGTTCCCTGGAGTCTTCAGAGATGGATACCCCTCTGTCTTGTCATTTCATTATTAGTGGTTGTTTCCTGGGAAACATTTGGTGATCTGAGGATGCCTGATGGAGCTTTGATCTGCAATGCTGTACTTCAGGTCTGAAGAAAGAGAAAGGGTTTGTAAAAGGCCCTGACCCCAATACAGCCCTTTACCCGAGCTTTCCTAAAGCCCCAAGAACTTCCTAAATCTCACTGGCTGCTTGTATGTACAGAAGGGATACAGAATTATAAATTTTGACATCTGGATGCAGTGTGGTTCTGGATAAAATTTCAAGATGTGAGTTAAGAATGAAGCGGAGCACGTATATCGCGCACACATCCAATCAAGTAGTTCTTGATCTAGTTCGTAAAGTATATTTATGCTGAGTAAAGACAGCTGGATTGCTGGGTTTCTGGAAATAGTGACACAGACTCTCTGGGTACACTTCTCTTACCTGTTAACACAACATTCAGGAACGTCCTGCCCACAGTTCCACCTTTATGGGCTCTGCTGTATGCACTGAGGCAAATCTGCATGGAAGGTTGATTAGGCAGGGGAATTCACTGCCTGCAGCTGAGGTCTGGAGTGCTGTGGGGAGCTCCCCAAAGACAGGCACAAGACCTGGCTTATGGATGCCTGGCAGAGGCTCAGAGTTACTTCTGCTGTCTCCCCACCTCTAATCCACCCATCACCCAGAAGTGGGCCAAAGATCAGGGGTCTGGATCATCTCTCAAGGGCAGGAAGAGGGTGAGGCTCTGAGAAGAATTGTGCTGTGCAATCAGACACCATATTTGGTGTTATGGCTTCATCTCTTTCAAAGGTATCTAGAGGAGGAGGGTGAAAGATGATTAACTCTGGGTTATCTGAAATATGACCCAAGTGAGGAGAGTCAACAGTAACCAGAACACATTGTGAAAAGGAAAAGGTGGATGGATTGTCACCTGGGCCAGAATCCCCAGAGAGCACTTTCACCACCACATGGAGTGAAAATTCTACCTGGTCACCCTCTTGAGTCCCCAGAGGGTCAGTCCAGGAATACGGTAGAGTAGAAAAGGAGTTTTGGGCCAGGATGGATGCTTGTGTGTGTGGTTATCTCAACTCGGACCCTGTGAGATCCACAGCAGTGTCCGAGAGCTGTGGCGCTGCTCTCTCGCTGACTCTCCAGGCTCTGTTGCTGCTGCTGCAGCAGCTCTGCAGCCAAGGTCGGCGGACTGTGTTTTGCCTGTGCTAACTCCAGGAGCAGCTGCTCCCAGAGCAGGAACAAAACTACCCCCAGTGCCAAGAAAAACTCGGGAGCCTGAGGGACAAGTATATTGGCCGGCTCCTGGAGGGACTCTTACTGTTGCTGGCTCAGTTGACAGGATGGCTCAACCTGAGTTGAGCTGGAAGTGAATTCAGCTGAAGAGAACACATGTGTAAACCCAGAATAAGGCTACTTTTCATTTTCTAAACAATTCTCCCTCTGCTTGTAAATAATTGACAAAATCATTAATATTCAGAAACACATTCCCCATGTTACCATTTCGTGGTTGCTCCTTGACCTTGCTAGATGAGTTTTCAATCCTAGTCCACACCCACGCTGGTTGCATTGCTCCATCTTCACACCTAATTCAGAACTATGTACAGAAAGAGTAAAACTATGAAATTCTAAACTTTTGTACTTGTTATAAGATATGCACTCTCATAAGTGTTTTGGGTGTAACTCAACCAAAATAACAATTCACACAATATTGCTATTAGGAAATTACAGCTATTTTCCACACTTCATATATGAAAAGACAGATGCACAGACAATTTTGGGCACATTTCTCAGGTTTTAAGGCAAGTAACTGGTTCTCAGAATCCAAATCTAGGTGATTTAACTACAGTGTGTGGTCTCAACCAGTTCTCTGGAGTTAAACTGGGAAGGCATGCACTATTTACTGCGTGTGGAATTCAAACAGCTTATGGTAAGTTCTTCTCAACAAGCTAGACTTAAAACAGCTATCCCTTCTTTTCTTGCCTGATATACTAATGTTTCTGTGTTAGTTCCCACACTGCACAAAATGAGCCTCTATTTCTCATGCCGTTATCTTCATCCACGTCCTTCCATCCTTTCTTAAGAATATAGTCACAGTGGGCAGAGATTATATTTCTTTCATATTATGTAGTATCCTCAGAGTTGGCCACATAGTCAACAATACTTGCTGGGTGTGTACGAGAGTGAATTAATAAACTCTGATTATTGAATTTACTAACGGGAGACAGTCCAAGAAAATCCTCAAATTGTTTTTTTCTTTAGAGATGTTCAGTTCTTCTAATTCATCTGATCATATCCTTCTCTCATTTACTCTCATAAGACCTGCTTAATAGTTACCTAAATTGCTCAGCACAGAATCCTTGGAAATAGTTCCTTGCTCCAGGGAATCCCAAGGCATAGATATGAAGTGATTGAAATTATAATATTTAATTTTTGTGTCCCATTCATCTAACACTGAAATTCTTCTAATTCCAATGATTAGAAAGATAGAAATACTGGACATAAATGGACATAGGCAGTGAGGGTGTTGGTGTGTGTATGTAGTGATCATATGTAATTAACATAGTTTTATCCCATGATAGCCTATAAATAGTGCTGTCTGGGTTATGAAAAATGATGGGTTCTGTCTTGGTTTTGATTAAGAAGTAAGTGCATAGATATTGCATAAAAGAGAGGTACACAATGAGGTTGGCAGGGAATTGGCATGGGAGAGGGATTTAGAAAGCATAGTTATAAATGATCTGGAAAATTCACCCCACCAAACAAAATAATTGACAATCTGGACTAGAAAGATGGTCTGACATTGTGTGTGTGTGTGGGGGGGGGGGGGTAGTGTATCTATGCTGTGTGTAAACTTGTTCTCAGAAACCTGTTGACATTATGCTAAAATAATTGAAATTTTTTGGGTTAAATTTTCTGAACTTTATTCCCAGCTGTGTCAACTTGGGCTATTTGTTTAGCTCTAGGAGCCTTTGTTTTCTAGTTAGTATAGTGGGGATATTAATACTACCTACATCACAAGATTGGTATGAAGATTAAATGAGATAATGTGTATAAAACAGTTAAATATACATAGAACAAAATAGATGGTCAGTAAGCATCAGTTATTACTTTCTGTTATTTTTATCATTTGTACACACATGTAGGTGTATATATGTATATACACATATGGAAGTATTTGACCCAAAAGCACAACTCCACTCAACCTATACCTCAGGGGAAGACAGGGAGGTAGGTAGAACTGTATTGGCTAGGGTTATGCAGAGAAACAGAAGAGAGAGAGAAATTTATTTTAAGAAATTGACTCATGCAATGACTGTGTGGGCTGGCAAGTCCAAAGTCTTGGCTGGAAATTCAGATAACAGTTGATGTTGCAACGTTGAGTCTAAATTCTGCAAGGCAGTAGTCTGGAAACAGGCAGAGTTTCTACACTGAGGATAATTTCTTCTTCTTTGGGAAACCTCAGTCTCCATTATTAAAGGCTTCAACTTATTGGATGAGGCTCACATTAGGGAAGATAATCTGCTTACTCAGTCTACTGATTAAATACTTACAGAGAAACCTGTGGATTGCCGTTTGATCAAACAGCTGGGTACCATAGCATAGCCTGGGCAAAATTAACCATCACAGAGACCGAGAGGATACATGGAGGTCACTGGAGATATGACCCAAGAGACAGACAAGGGGCCAACTGTGACCAGGACACACTAAGAACATGAAATGATGGTTTTATTTTCACTTAGGATAAAGGCAAATTTCTGGACAGACCTTTGGAGAATATTGGGAAAACAGAAACTTCTACCTGGTAACCCCGGGAGTCTCAACAAGGGTGTGATGTTAGAAGGACTGGAGAGAGGGAATGCAGCACGTGGCTGGGGAGGCCCTTGGCCTTTGGACTTTGGTTTCACAGAGGTATAGTCAGCACAGCACAGACAAGGCTGCTGACACCGCACAGTAGCTGGAGCTCTGGGAACTGATGATTGCTGTAGCTGCTTCCCATGCAGGGGTCACACAAGAAGATTTGGAGGTGAACATGGGCTATGCACTGTAGTGGCACTGTGGAGGGCCCTTTAAAGGCACTGGCATTGCTGGTGGTTTTTTGGCAAGGTATCTGAGTTTCAAAATGAATTGAATAATGTGTCAGATAAATTAGAGCCAGGACGAGAATAATTTTGCCCTTCTAAACCTATTCTTGGTGTGCTGGCAGACAGTTTATAAAATACATTAGTATCGAATTAGTACCTGTAAAGAAACATATAACTCCAAGTTAAAAGTGTTAGAACTGACATTCTTAGAAACAGAACTAATACTAAACAATGTCAATTCTGTCATCATTTCATTTCATATCTACATACTTACTTCCTACCTACTGTATTTCTGAGCTTTAAGAGGCTATCAGTTGTAAGGGGCACCCTTATTTCATGCACCACAAGGAAAGAAAAAAAGCTGCAAATTCAACTATTACGTGCCACCAATCATATGGTATATACTGATTTAAGGGCTGTTAACAAACGTTAGAAGACTGTATCATGGAATTGATGAATTAAGATAAGTATAAAACTGATCCACTTTAGGTCATATAAATATGTATGTAAATACTAGACGGGCCAATTCTTGCTTTGCCCAGAACTCCCCTCCGCTGTGCTCCTCCCTGTCTCTCTGTCTAGCACTAGACACTGCTAGACAATATTGAAAAAAAGATCAAAAGTTATGGTACAGGAAAATTTTGGATTAGTCAGTCTATTAAATAAGGGGAGACAAATAAAAAGACATGGTAAGGCCTTTTCTTGTACTGTAGGTAAAGTAAAGTTCCAACATTTGGTAGGAAGTGTTTTTCTGGAATATACGGAGTTTAAGTTGCCAGGGAGAGAAATCAAGGAGCTACTTAGAGAGACCAGCCTACAGGAGAGTGACTTTCCAGATAACATGAACTTCAGATGAAATGTCTGAAATCACCCCCAGGCCATTCTTCTCATGACACCTATGTACTCATTCATGTGATCCTGAAATGATGCATTGATCCTGCAAACATTCATGAGGCAATTACGTATTTGGGTGGTCCCTGAGGGAGCATGAGCAATGTGACCCATGGGTCTCCTGGCTCAGAGAGATCACACATGATGGTGAGAAGACTGTGGAGACAGAAGCAAGAATACCTGTAGTCAGGTGTTTCTTCACCGACTTGTGAACCAATTCCTACCACTTTTTGAGATATAAAGGGGAAAAGTGAGCAAAAAAGTGGGCGAAAAAGAGCTGTTTATCTCCCAGTTCTGGTTTCTCAGAGGATTGGTTTCCACTAGTCCTTCCATTGCTTATTCAACCACTCAATCCAGATGCTCAAGTATGTGCATGTTCATTTCACTTACATTTTTATATGAATACAGCATACATGCACACAGTGCACACACACACACACATACACACACACAAGCTTGCCTCCCCTACTTCCTCACTTACAACATTGTTACAAATATCTTTGTCAAAGAGTATGAGGAAGCTGAGGGTGATATCACCATGAAGACAGTGGAATGAACTAACATCTTTCAATCACATTGGGAATTAGTGACTCAGGAGGTTCAGGCCCCAAACATCACTTCTTTGATACCCAGTTTTTCTGCAGTCATCTTCAAAAAGGCCACTACATTCTGCAGTCCTTGAGGTCATGGGCTACTTATTGTTCACCTCTATATCCATATGTTTGGACATACGTGCTCCAAGAAAGTTGTAGGCTTTCAAGGAATGCCTTTTGAATACACTGCTCTGGTCACACTGTGGACTTACTTTATCCTTGAGGTAAAAGCTCTCTGAGAACAAGAATCAGGTCTGAAAATAAGATTGGATAAATAGGTGAATAGAATCCCTCAGGTAGAAGCAGACAATGGGAAACTATGCTTTCTACCTATCCACCCTCCCCCACCAAGTAGGCATTAGACAGTGTGAAGGCGTGGTCTGTTTCTGTTTTAATCAGAAGTGTGAATAACTATCTTTTTCAATTCTAATTTCAACATTTTCATTGAGACATAATTCACATATTATATAGTTCATTTATTTAAAGTGTTAATGCAGTGGTTTTCAGTATATTCATAGAGTTGGACAATCACCACTACAATTCCAGAACATTTTCATTACTCCAGAAAGAAAACCTGTATCCATTAGTTGTAATTTTCTAATTTCTCCCAGCCTGCTAAAGTACCTGGAAGCCACTGATGTTTCCTCAGAGGATGTGCATAAAAGTAAAATGAGATACAGGGAACAGAATCTTGTCTAGGCTCTGGTTCCTCAGATGCCCTAAGTCAGCTCTTCAGGGATCCAGCCTGAGAGAGGCTATAACTGGCTAAAGCCTCATCCCCCTTTCTATTTCCACAGATTTGTTGACTACACATTTCATATAAACAGGATCATAAGAAATGCAGTCTTTTGGGATTGATTTATTTCAGTTAGCCTAAGGTTTTCAAAGTTCATCCTCAGTATATCTGTTTAAAATAAATGAATAAACGAATGGGTAACTCTGTCTAGCGCAACCCCGAATCAGAACTCTGAACAAGTAGACCCCTTTCTGACCCTCTACTTCAGGGTAGGAAAGGAGTTCCCTCTCCACAGAAGCCACAAGAAATGATGTCCACTTCCTAAGGGAGTTTTCAAATAAGCTAAGTGTCTTGTAAGGGTTCTATATGGACAATGAATGCCACATAAGACCTGGGTAAGTATCCAATACATGGCATTAGTTTTTCTTTTAAAAACATATTTATTAAGTGTCTATCAGGCACACAGTGTCACACTAAGCTCTTTCTTATTTATCACTTAATAATAAAAACAGCTCAGTGAGATAGGTATACCTGGTTTATAACGGCCATTACATATGAGACCTGATACTCATTGTGAGTATCATAGTGACACTCTAGCAATTGTTGATAATTGTTCTAGCAATTTCCAAAGATCCCTCAATTAGCATATGCAATTTTTCTGATTCCAGTACCACATTCAGTACAATTCCTCTGACTAAGAATAATGTTCTGATTTTAGAAGGAATTGTTTATTCTCAATCATACTCTTTGCTCTAGACCACAGAACCAACTCAGATTTAATCCACTGAATCTGCTTGCCACGGTGAGTCGGAGGAAAAGCAGAAACACAGAGCCCAGGAGGAAGGGCTGAGAGCCTAGGCAAGGGAGTAGGATGCCTAGAAAGAGCCAAGGCTGTAGAAGCCCCCTGGAACGGCTGGATCTACAGCAGAACATGGAAGATAAACTGCTCAGGGTAGAGGGAGTCATAATGGAACGTTTTTACAAGGTCAGGGAATGTTGTGGCTCAGAACTGATGTTTCTTCAGAGGACACGAATACAAAAGATGCAGGAAACAGGATCTCATCCAGGCATGGGTCCCTTGGGTACCCTAAGTTAACTCTTTAGGGCTCCCGCCTGGTGGAGGCTCTGACTGGCTAAAGCCTCCCCAGATCCCAGCCCCAGAGAGGAGTCCTGGAAACTCCTGAGGCCTCTTTGGATTGCAGGGACAAGGAGGCAGAAGAATGTCAGGAATGACCCAGCACGTGCCTGGTTGTGCAAGAGCCACCTCCTGCTCTTCTCAGAGCCAAGCCTGGGCCCTATAAAAGACGCATCAGGCTTCAGCACCTCATCTGCTCTGACTCCCCAGGGACGTGTCTGTGCTCCTGCGTGTGACCAGGGTGAGTGGCAACCTGGGATACCAGAGAGGTATGAGCAGGGCAGAGGGATGGGGAGGATGGAGGTAGGCTGGAGAAAGAGAGTTGTGTGCTTGTGTTCTGCCATGCTGAGCAGGAATAGGACCCAGTCTGCCTCAAATCTATTGAGGCTCTGAGGCCTACTGGAGCTCATATAGGTGGGGAAAGCTAACTGTGCACATCTTTTCCAATTCTTGTTCAGTGACTTCACATGAGTAACTTCAAAACTGCTGTGTTGGGCATATTTCCACCATGGAAACTGGCTAATACTTCAAGCCAAGTCCTTTTATCTGGAGGTTTCATTGCAAAATCTTTTTCCAGAGGACACCCTGGTGTGTCCTGCAACACCTAGCTGGACCTTAGGGCTTGTATTAAGGAAATAGGTATTTCAGGGAGCTGTGAATACTCTACTCAGGCTTGTGAGGATAGAGAAATCCCAGCTTCCCCTGAAAGGAAGAATAAGGAGCTCATTCTGTGGATTTTTAAATGTATGTGCTTTCATTTGGAGGAAATATTCAAGTTGTTTCTTTCAGATTACTGATATGACTGTATAATCTAAATATAATTCTTCTCCCACCCATGCATTGATTTCAGAAGAGGTATAATATGATCGTTGGTTTTAAATATTTAAAGAGTTTCATTATTATGTTTTAGGCTCACTAAACTCTGCCAGGATGTCTTGCCAGCAAAACCAGCAGCAGTGCCAGCCCCCTCCCAAGTGTCCTCCCAAGTGTACCCCAAAATGTCCACCTAAGTGTCCCCCCAAATGCCCACCCCAGTGCCCAGCTCCATGTTCCCCTGCAGTCTCTTCCTGCTGTGGTCCCAGCTCTGGGGGCTGCTGTGGTCCCAGCTCTGGGGGTTGCTGCAGTTCTGGGAGTGGTGGCTGCTGCCTGAGCCACCACAGGCCCCATCTCTTCCACCGGCGCCGGCACCAGAGCCCAGATTGCTGTGAGAGTGAACCTTCTGGGGGCTCTGGCTGCTGCCACAGCTCTGGGGGCTGCTGCTAACCTGGGCTAAGAAGAACTCTTTGGACAGAATGTTCAACAACCTGCTACAACCTGATGCTTAACTCTTTCCATTTCCTCTCATTCCATTCATGGGTGGACAGGGGCCACCAAGACTCATGGGGCTTCCCTGGAAGAACTTGGCACTCGATGGAGCACCTCAATTGCAGGTCTTCTTTTCCTCCTTTACCTCATGCTATAATAAAGCTCTGATTTCTGACTCACAAATTGTCTTGGTCATTCTCTTCTCTTCTGAGATTTCAAATGTCCTCCAAAGGTCAGTGCCTCAGAGAAATTCTCTTCATGGGTCAAGGACAGGACCTGAGTAGGTGATACATGAAAAGCTGCTCCGAGGAACTAATTCCCCCAAATGCAGGGTGGATGGAGCTCCAAGAGGGTCACCTCTGGCTATGGCAGCTTTGCCTTTCTGTCCATTAAACCAGACACATGTTCTAATGTTCTGTGTATTCCAGACATTGGGGAGGTTGGGAACCTCTGTAGACTTCTTCTTCTCCATGGAGAAGGACACATCTCTATGAAGCAAAACTTCCCTGCTGTTAGAATCAATAGTTGAATAAAATGCTTGAAATGAATGTTGAGACTCTTCATTCTGCAAAGTACAGCCCATAGTCACTGAACTCCTTTTCAGGGAGAGTGACTGGTTAAAATCAGCCCTTTGACTTGCTGCCTCGGACACCTGTCTTCAATTCCTCTCAGTGTTAGATCTGAGTCCCAGGATGCTGTCCTGCCACTTGGCCTATGTGCTGGGCAGGTGAGTGAGGAGTGATGGAGATTTTTATTACAAAAAACATGGAGGTTCCACTTTGAAAATACAGTGAATAAATGGTACAAGATGCTGTAGGGAAGATTAGACCTTTTCTCCTTCAATGTTTATCTTCTTTGTCCAGCCACCCTCTGATGTGAGGGGGGAGAAGTGCCAGGATGGGTGGGGCATCTTTAGTATTAATAGGAGAAGGGGAGGGAAACAGGGAAACAGCAGGGGAAATAAGGACTAGTGCTTCTTAGGTTCAGGCTGACAGGTGTCCACATGAAGATAATTGATTCAGAGAAGAGAGAATCTGACAGAGACGGAGTCTGTTATTAAAATGTTCAGCTGCCTCCTCACCCTTACTTCTGCTAAGAAAAACACCTAGCTCTTTAACCAGTCCGAGATTCCATATTCTCTGCATTTTAAATTACCCTTTGCACTGAGTCACTTTATTTGATTTAATGCTGTTTATTATTTTTGCCAGTCTCATTCTTTTTTTTTTTTATTTTACTTTAAGTTCTGGGATACGTGGGTTGAATGTACAGGTTTGTTATGTAGGTGTATATGTGCCATGGTGGTTTGCTGTGCCTATGAACCCATCATCTAGGTTTTAAGCTCTGCATGCATTATGTATTTTTCCTAATGCTCTCCCTCCTCTTACCTCTAACCCTAGTATGCCCCAATGTGTGATATTCCCTGCCCTATGTCTATGTGTTCTCATTGTTCAGCTCCCACTTATTAGTGAGAACATGTGGTGTTTGGTTTTCTGTTCCTGTGTTAGTTTGCTGAGGATGATGGTTTCCAGCTTCATCCATGTCCCTGTAAAGGACATAAACTCATTCTTTTTATGGCTGCATAGTATTCCATGGTGTATATGTGCACATTTTCTTTATCCACTCTATCATTGATGGGCATTTGGGTTGGTTCCAAGTCTTTGCTATTATAAACAGTGGTGCTATAAACCTACATGTGCGTGTGTCTTTCTAGTAGAATGATTTATAATCCTTTGGATATATACCCATTAATGGGATTGCTGGGTCAAATAGTATTTCTGGTTCTATATACTGGAGGAATCGCCACACTGTTTTCCATAATGGGTGAACTAATTTACAGTCCCACCAATGGTGTAAAAGCATTCCTATTTCTCTGCATCCTCTCGAGCATCAGTTGTTTCCAGACTTTTTAATGATCACCATTCTAACTAGCCTGAGATGGTATCTCATTGTGGTTTTGATTTGCATTTCTCTAATGACCAGTGATGATGAGTTTTTTTTTTATATGTTTGTTGACCGCATAAATGTTTTCTTTTGAGAAGTGTCTGTTCATACCCTTTGCCCACTTTTTGATGGGGTTGTTTGCTTTATTCTTGAAAATTTGTTTAAGTTCCTTGTAGATTCTGAACATTAGACCTTTGTCAGATGGATAGATTGCAAAAATTTTCTCCCATTCTGTAGGTTGCCTATTCACTCTGATGACATTATTTTTTGAAAAGATTAACAAAATACACTAGCCAGACTAATAAAGAAGAAGTGAGAGAAGAGTCAAATAGACACAATAAAAAGTGATAGAGTGTATCACCACTGATAACACAGAAATACAAACTACCATCAAAGAATACTATGCAACACCTCTATGCAAATAAACTAGAAAATCTAGAAGAAATGGATAAATTCCTGGACACAGAAACTCTCCCAATACTAAACTAGGAAGAAGTCGAATCCCTGAATAGACCGATAACAAGTTCTGAAATTGAGGCAATAATTAATAGACTACCAACCAAAAAAAAAAAAACCAGACAGATTCACAGTCAAATTCTACCAGAGGTACAAAGAGAAGATGATAGCATTCCTTCTGAAACTATTCCAAACGATAGAAAAAGAGGGAATCTTCCCTAACTCATTTTATGAGGCCAGCATCATCCTGATTTTAAAATCTGGCAGAGACACGACAAAAATAGAAAATTTCAGGCCAATATCACTGATGAACATCAATGCAAAAATCCTCAATAAAATACTGGCAAACTGATTCCAGCAGCACATCAAAAAGCTTATCCACCACATTTAAGTCAGCTTCATCCCTGGGATGCAAGGCTGGTTCAACATACAGAAATCAATAAACATAATCCATCACATAAACAGAACCAATGACAAAAACTACATGATTATCTCAATAGATGCAGAAAAGGCCTTTGATAAAATTCAACACCCCTTCATGATAAAAACTCTCAATAAGGTAGGTATTGATGGAACATATTTCAAAATAATAAGAGCAATTTATGACAATCCCATAGCCAATATCATACTGAATGGGCAAAAGTTGGAAGCATTCCCTTTGAAAATCGGCACAAGACAAGGGTGCCCTCTCTCACCACTCCTATTCAACATAGTATCGGAAGTTCTGGCCAGAACAATCAGGCAAGATAAGGAAATAAAGGGTATTCAAATAGGAAGAGAGGACATCAAATCGAATCTCTTTGCAGATGACATGACTGTATATTCAGAAAACCCTATCGTCTCAGCCCAAAAACTCTTTAAGCTGATAAACAACTTCAGCAAAGTCTCAAGATACAAAATCAATGTGCAAAAATCACAAGCATTCTTATACACCAATAATAGACAAGCAGAGAGCCAAACCATGAGTGAACTCCCATTCGCAATTGCTACAAAGAAAATAAAATACCTAGGAATATAACTTACAAGGGAGGTGAAGGAATTCTTCAAGGAAAACTACAAACCACTGCTCAAGGAAACAAGAGAGGACACAAACAAATGGAAAACATTCCACGCTCATGGATAGGAAGAATCAATATCTTGAAAACAGCCATACTGCCCAGAGTAATTTATAGATTCAATGCTCTTCCCATCAAGCTACCACTGACTTTTTTCACAGAACTACAAAAAAACTACTTTAAATTTCATATGGAACCAAAAAAGAGCCCGTATAGCCAAGACAACCCTAAGCAAAAGGAACAAAGCTGGAGGCATCACACTACCTGACTTCAAACGGTACTACAGGGCTACAGTAACCAAAACAGCATGGTACTGATACCTAAACAGATACGTAGAGCAATGGAACAAAACAGAGGCCTCAGAAATAATGCCACACCTCTACGACCATCTGATCTTCGACAAACCTGACCAAAAAAAAAAAAAAAAAAAGCAATGGGGAAAGGATTCCCTATTTAATAAATGGTGCTGGAAAAACTGGCTAACCATATGCAGAAAAGAGAAACTCGACCCCTTCCTTACACCTTATACAAAAATTAACTCAAGAGGGACATTAAAGACTTAAACGTAAAACCCGAAAGTATAAAAACCCTAGAAGAAAACCTAGGCAATACCGTTCAGGACATAGGCGTCAGCAAAGGCTTCATGACTAAAACAGCAAAAGCAATTGTAACAAAAGCCCAAATTGACAAATGGGATCTAACTAAACTAAAGAGCTTCTGCTCAGCTAGTCTCATTATTAACTGAAATTTCAAGTCCCTGACCAGTAGTAACTTTGTTCTGCTAAAAACATGCACATTGGCCATTTCTACAACTTTCATAATATGATTTCAAATTTTCTTTTCAATTTTCAAGAGCTCTGATATATAACGGATATGAACCTTGATCTGCCTTTATTAAAATATTTAATGCATCAGATTTAATTGACTCTGTTTGTAATAACTTTTGCTATGGAAACATTTTTAGTTTTTATGTACTCAAACATGACTTTCTTTGCTTTTATAGCTTCAGGGTTTTTTGAGTTGGTTAAGAAATTTTCCCTTGTCTTTAGTGTTTACATGTCGGCAAACAAAATAAACAAAAAAACCCAAACAGTATAAAATGGAACACAAAGCAGGGGACCTAAGGTTGCCTGGGATAGGTGAAGGCTGGCCTGCAGAGAGATGGGCACTGAGTCTGCTTTCAGGGGCCTCTGCCTTAAGTGGGAGCAATCCCCAGTGGGCCTACTATCCAGGCCTCCATGTACTCCTTTAGTGAGCATAATCCTTTCTCTATCTAACCTTCCATACACAGGATAATTTCCAGCATAACTATTTGCTTTTCATTGCGTCTTACCTTGTGTTTGGCACGTGTGCATGTGTGTTAGAAGTTATTTTCTTCTGCTATCACAGGAACTCAAAATGACAGCAATTTTAAAAAGAAGGCAGTCTATTTCCACTCATATGTGATGAAGTCAGAAGTTGGTAGTCCATGGCTGTTGCAGTGGTTCCACAGAGTCTTCAGAGATGGATACACCTCTGTCTCATTATTTCATTTTAAGTGGTTGTTTCCTGGGAGGCAGTTGGTAATCTTGAGGTGCCTGATACAGTTCTGATCTGCAAGGCTGTGCTTCAGCTAGGAAGAAGGAGAAACGGTGGGTAAAAGGCCCTGACCCCTGTAAAGCCTCTTACGTGCGCTTTCCTAAAGCCCCAACGACTTCCTAAATCTCCCTGGCTGCTTGTATGTACAAGGAG